AACCCCTAGGGACCTAGTTTGTTAGTCACAGCTTGGAAACAGTTGAGAGCCCCACCCTATAACGGTATATACAATTGCTGAGTATAAAGAGATGATTGCACATATGCTTCCAGGATGGCCTTGGGGACTGCCCCACCCTTGGAGACTTAACCCCTGGGTCATAACTTCGAAATGGTTTAGATCCCCACCCCAAAACTATATATACAATTGTTGGGCATAAAAAGACGAATGCAGTCATGATATTAGAATTGACCCCAGGGTCTGCCCCACCCTTGCAGACTTAACCCCTGGGTCATAACTTTGAAATGGTTGAGATCCCCACCCCAAAACTATATATACAAATGCTGGGCAAAAAGAGACAAATGCAGTCACGATATTAGAATTGATCCTGGGGTCTGGCCACAACCCTAGGGACCTAGTTTCTGAGTCAAAGCTTGGAAACAGTTTAAGATCCCCACCCCATAACCATACATAAAATTGCTGGGCATGAAGAATCTAATACATGTACAGATATGCTACAAGGATTGGCCTTGGGGTCTGGCATATTCCCTTGATCTCATTCGGAGAATATTTTGCCATGATTGCTTTGGTATCCAGGTGAGCGATACAGGCCCTCTGGGCCTCTTGTTATTTTTGCTAAACCTGCCAAACTGTGAAATTACTACATAAATTATGAGTGTGTTCCAGACGTTTGGTGCTATTGAGCTGAAGTTATTAAGCTAAGTTATAATGTTTCCAAGTTTGATTTTAAATTTTCTTCAGTGACTCCATTTAAAGATATCTGTAAAATATGTAAAAGAAAATCATTTGTTATAATATATTGTTCTGATCAATTCATACTTATATGAATATGCTTTCTTAAACACTGATGTATTTTTATGTTACAAAGATGTCTATACTACAAACTCTGGATTATCATCAAAACAAAGTGGTATATTCACCCCCCCCCCCCCCCCCCCCCCCCCCCCCCCCCCCCCCCACACCCACACCCAAGTTTGTGTCATAAATATCATATAGCATCAACTATCATAATTGACAACTTTAATTGGTTAATTTGTTGACAGTTACTTTTATCCGGTGCTGAGGGCCGAGGGAAATAGTTCATTGGGTTGTAAACAGTGTTGTCTTTGGGACAAAGATTTAGGGAAAGGAGGAGGAGGAGTGCAGCGTAACTGCAACAGGTTGATCGCAGGCAGTTATCAAGTAGCTCAATTGGTTGGAGTGTCTGTTTAGAGTTTGGAGGTCCTCAGTTAGAATCTTGATCTGGCCTTATTTTGTTCCTCTCCTGTTACAGTGGTAACTCTGACAAATCCTTATTTCAAGTACTGGATGTACGCTTGGCAAGGGGATACCTATAAACCTGGGTTGTAAATAGTGTCGTCTTTGGGGCAACGAATTGAAAAAAAGGAGGGAGGAAATTGTAGCAGAACTGGACTGGGTCAATTGCCGGTGTCTAGGTATCTCAGTTGCATATACATCTGTACTTGTCAACTCTCCCAATTATGGAGGAAAACTCTCAATTTTGGGCGTTAAAATTTCGTATGTTCAAGCAGTGAATTTGCTAAACTATTTCTATCTTCAAAGATGTGATGATTTCATCTGAAAGAACAACTCAAAAAAGTGATATTTTCCCCCTAGGGTGTATATAAAGACATTTTATTGATGTTTTCAATTTTGAGCATGTGTAATCTACCCCATGGTAATTTTAAAATGCTGTCAAGTATGCAATTGGTTAGAGCATCCTTCTAGAGTTTAGTTAGAGTTTAGTGGTCCAAAGTTCCAATCCCGGTCTGGCCGTGCATTCTTCCTCGATATATATATATATGGGGTGCTATGCATTGTGGATATTTAAGGTGCAGGTATTGAATATACTAAATGTTCAACTAGTTTTGATAGTGTACTTAAAGATAAATATATATATATATACACTAAGTTGTCCAGGATAATATTTAGTGATAATACACAATTTCCATCCTGCATCCTGGATTACTATTTCCGTTTAAAGCAATCCTGATATGATTTCTAATCTGACTGCTTGATGAACTAGCTGTAATGCTTACATCTGTTGGGTATACAGAAACCAGCCTATTTCTGCTGTTAAGGAGATAGGCTATTCTGTCTTTGCTTGAAAGTAATAGATTACATTTTCTTATCAGGGTACCTGTATAAAAATCGTCAGCATGGCCCAGTTTGATCCAGATGAGCGAAATCCTCTCCTGAGTGGTAGTGGTGGAAATCAGTGTCTGTCAAGTAGGGTCACCCTACAGGAACCATTAGACAATATGGCCAAACCGGAGATGGGGATAAAGGAAAATAAGTCAGCATTCCGTGGAAAAACGGGTCTTGTGGTGGTGTGTATTTTGATGACAGAACTGTGCGAGCGTTTGACGTATTACAGTGTGGTAGCTAACCTTGTCCTGTTTTGTACCTCCAAACTCGACATTCCCAGTTCTGATGCTGCCAACATTAGTCTCATCTTCTCAGGTAAAAAAAAATGTATTTGTAGGTTTTCTCCCGAGATATATGGACCAATGCATTCTAAAGATTATTTTTTTCATGGTTCAACACCTCTACGCCAAAACTTATCAATCTTTACACTTGTTTTCATTTTAAACATGTACATTAATTTCCATTCAAAATATTTTTGCTAACATAAATAAAGAAAAAGATACCAGTATATTTTGTATGTAAAATATGTACACATTTCAAAACAAAAAATTATTATCTTACCCTTAGACAGGAGCTTAATTGACATTGAGTCCTTAATAATGAAACTTTTTTAATTAGTTGGTATTTTGACAATAGACACAATGACAATTTTTTGGAAAACAATTTCAAATACCTGTTAATAGACTTTGAATAAATTTTGATATATATATGTGTCTGTTATCAGTGATTACATCTTCTAACCTATAAAATCTACAGTTTTATCTATATATTACATGATAACAACTGTACCACTATCATACAGGTACTTTGTTTAAAAAAATGTCACATATCAGTGTTTCTTCATGTCATATAAGGTATAGAATACTGACGGCCAATTCAGTTCAGAACCTGGACTAAAATGCTTTCCATAATACAAAAACGTTGTTGGTCAAAGTTACATCTATCAGTCAGGGTAATCATGTCCATTTAGAAATACTAAACAAATGAAAATAATCTATTTATTTACACACCTTACCAAAATAGCTAACTTACCATTACCTTACCAAAATAGCTAACTTACCAAAAAAGCTAACTTACCATTACCCTACTAAATAGCTCACTTACCATTACCCTACTAAATAGCTCACTTACCATTACATAACTAAATAGCTCACTTACCATTACATACCTAAATAGCTAACTTACCATTACCATACTAAATAGCTCACTTACCATTGAATAACTAAATAGCTAACTTACCATTACCCTACTAAATAACTAACATACCATTGCATAACTAAATAGCTAACTTACCATTACTGTACTAAATAGCTATCTTACCATTACCCTACTAAATAGCTAACTTACCATTACCCTACTAAATAGCTAACTTACCATTACCATACTAAATAGCTATCTTACCATTACCCTACTAAATAGCTAACTTACCATTGCATAACTAAATAGCTAACTTACCATTACCCTACTAAATAGCTAACTTACCATTACATAACGAAATAGCTAACTTACCATTACCGTACTAAATAGCTATCTTACCATTACATAACTAAATAGCTCACTTACCATTACATAACTAAATAGCTAACTTACTATTACCCTACTAAATAGCTCACTTACCATTACCCTACTAAATAACTAACTTACCATTGCATAACTAAATAGCTAACTTACCATTGCCCTACTAAATAGCTAACTTACCATTACATAACTAAATAGCTAACTTACCATTACCCTACTAAATAGCTATCTTACCATTACCCTACTAAATAGCTCACTTAACATTACCCTACTAAATAGCTAACTTACCATTACCCTACTAAATAGCTAACTTACCATTACATAACTAAATAGCTAAATTACCATTACATAACTAAATAGCTCACTTACCATTATCTTACTGAATAGCTAACTTACCATTACTTAACTAAATAACTAAAATGTATACACCGTAGTTATATTTGCTATATAGCTAGAATACCCAAATCTATCATAAGATATTTAGACATTGCCCAGCTGTAACTAAATAGTGAGAATGTACACACCCTGTTGCTAAAATATATTCGGACGTTGTTTATCTGTAATTTAATACAAAAGCGTGCTGAAAAACTACTGATAGTTCAGCTGAAATCCTTCTGGAACCAAACTAAATCTCTTCTATATTAGTAATATCCACATCTAACTAAATACAATGATGTAGCTAACTTAAATAGCTAGCCTAATCCCAATTGCTAAGATATCCATAATGATACCTTTGTAAATAGCTAGAATGTCTACACTTTACTTAAAAAAATCTAGCGTGCCTCACCTTACTGAAAAGACTAAAACGGTCTTGTATTTATCTATGTCATACAGCTATAGAGCAGGCACTGCCCTGAATACCAGTGTTGTGGATAAGAGAGGTAAACAAAATCAGTTCAAGCAGGTTTTGTCATATTGAAGTTGTGTTGTTGAAGTTTTTGGTATCTGGGCGCTGTGATTATTATGGCTTTCTCTTTTACCACATTTTATAAATTTGGGAACATTGTGTTTAGGCCAGTACATACTGTCTGAACTACTTCTCAAAGTAACAAGAATGAAAGTGGAGTGGATTTTTTGTCAAATTCATTTGTTCGGTAATAATTAAATTTTCATGTTTGGCAAAAATATTTCAATTTCAACTAAAATATAGAGATATGCATAAAATATAATGAGTCCTAAATACATTGCAGTTAGTAGCTGGATTTGATAAGAAATGTGTAAGATAAGAGGTTAAATGTAAACTCTCTTTTTCTGATTAATTACAATTACTAGTAATAGTAGGAGTATAATTCAAAACTGAAGCTGTATTCAGTACTAATTATTCGATGATCTGTTTAAGCTGACATGGCATGAATTGCCCCTTTGAAGCTTACGTCATATGGGACATCATCTGTCAGTTTTAAAAAGGTGTTATGAACTTAGACATTCAGCTTTTCTGTTAATATGGGCATGAAGAATTATCAACTGCATTAGGTCACAGAGGACAGGTCAAATGTGTTAAAATCTTCGAACAAGTTGTTTTCCTTATGAACCATGAGGTGAAGAAAAATTATATTTGGCCGTGAGCTAGTTGCTGTGGTAACGGGTACCAAGTTTAATCAATTAACTTATCTTGACCAAACATCAAAGTCACTAGCGTAAACGTGTTGAAAAGACTTTGATATATGAACTACCGGTACGTGGCACAGAGAAATGATATTAAACCTGTTAACCTCCTTGAATGGAAACCTGCCCCAATAAATGAATTGCATCAGTATTCAATGTCACTGATATAAAATGTATTGAAAATTCAAAAAAGTTCCTCTAAAGAACTGTGATGCTTAGGGCGATGAATGTTGGCCATATCTTACAAGGGTTGACATCTCCAGTATGATTATGTAACAATAACCATACAAGAAGTTGTCATAAATCAAAGGAACTTTAACAGTACACTAGCTGGGGGTTTTGTGGTATTTTTGAAAGTGGTGCAAAATCATTCTTTAGTGTTAAGAAAGGTTTTCATTACCTTCTATAAACCATCAGCCACTAGCTATCATGAGTTATGTACAAAAATTCCTCTATAAATGGACAGCAAGCTGGCTACAGCTAGGCTGTAATCCTTTGATAGTGATAAACATAATGTAACTTGGATTGTATACTTTGATGTACCTAACAACCAATGATATATTTGTATAATTTGTAGAAGATCCAGTTTTTATTTGTTTGACAATGCCCACGGAAAGTATTGGTATCTATATGGAATAGCACGGACAAGTTGTCATGCTGTGAATTATGGCATTTGGAAGTGTATAAACTATCAAAGACAATTTGTAAGATTTTTATATAAAAAAAAGATATATCATCTGTTACTTTGATACAGACAGAACAATAATATATCCCCATTATAACGATCAAGGTGGGACATATAATTTATCATAAGTATGACTTTATATATATATACTAGCAATGATATTTACCAATACACAGTCAAGTTGGCCATAAAATGTCACTGAGTATATCTGTGACCAGTACACCTGAGACTTTCCCTATGTATAGATGTTTACAAAGTTTTACTGATAACGTTTTTTGTAGCTGTATATCTCATGCGGCGACACATACTTTCCTATGATACGCAGTATTTATTGTATTATGTACTTCATGTATTCAATCTTTTTTCAAAGTATAGCTTCTGGCACATTAAATTTCCTATTACTAAGACACATAAAGACAAAATCATCTATCACTGATACATATTTTACAGACAAAATTATCTTTACTGAGACATATTCTACAGACTATATATTAATATAACTAAGACACATACAGATAATATTATTCATAACTAAGACATACAAACATTAGCATACAGATAATATTATTCATAACTAAGACATACAAACAAGACACATACAGACAATATTATCTATAACTAAGACATATGCAAACAAGACATATTCAGACAATATTATCTATAACTAAGACATAAAGACTATATTATCTCAACATATACTACAAACTATATTGATATAACTAAGACATATACAGACAATATTATCCATAACTAAGACATATACAAACAAGACATATACAGACAATATTATCTATAACTAAGACATAAAGACAATATTATTTCAACATATAATACAGACTGTATTAATATAATTAAGACATATACAAACAAGACACATACAGACAATATTATCTATAACTAAGACATAAAGACAATATTATTTCAACATATACTACAGACTGTATTAATATAATTAAGACATATACAGACAATATAATTCATAACTATAAGTCATATACAAACAAGACATATTCAGACAATATTATCCATAACTATAAGACATAAAGACTATATTATCTCAACATATACTACAGACTATATTAATATAACTAAGACATATACAGACAATATTATTTGTCTATTGTATTGAAGCTATATAACATATGAGTCTTTGTCATTGGTGATTCTACTATGATTTAATGCCTTATACTACTCCTAATGTGTTATATTAAATGCCAGACCCACAATAATGAATTCCTTTGCTATTAAAGCACAGGTGAAAAAAAGAGTCTGGAAGCCTTTTGGTTGGTTTATGTAAATGTAACCTGGACATTGAAAGATAGTTGTGATGTCAAAATCTAAAGTTGACATGCAATTGCAGCATCCAGTCAGACGTTCTAACGCAAGCTCAATTGGACATGTCATGGGTGATTGCCATGTAGCCATATCAGGAAATGATATAATGATAAATTGTTCGGTGCCTCGGTAGCCGTGATCGCTAACGCGCACAGTCATTGTACTACTGTGT